CAGCTTCAATAAACATAAATACACGATAGAGAAGTGACAATATTTTGTACCAAAAGAAAAATCACATCTTTTGTTCCAAACCAGCTTTGTTGCTGTAATGGATTGAACTATGTCTCCCAAAAATATGTGTTGTGAGTCTTAACCCTGATACCTGTGTTTATAATCCCATTTGAGAGTGGGTTTTCTTTGTTACGTTCATGAGGCCGGATTAGTGTAGGGTGTGTCTTCAGTCAATCTCCTTTGAGATATACAGTAAAACCTTTGAAAGCTGGAACCTTATAAGGCAGAAACCTGTTAGAGAAGGAACACTCAAATTATTTCCACTAAAACAAGTGATAGAAAAGTAGTAAGACTGCACTGTTGTAGGGGAAAAACATCGCAGAGTTTAGTAAAGCAAAAAGAAAGTTTTATTCGACATACATTCGGAAAGGCAAAAGTGGGAAACGAATAACCATGCCAGAGCCACGTCTGCCCGAGTCCAAGGAAATATCACAGAACGGACAGAAGTGGGAAAACGGACAAGCATGCTGCTAGAACCATGTCTGTCCAAGTCCAAAGAATATTACAGAATGGGAAAACGGACAAGCATGCTGCCATAGCCATGTCTGCCAGAGTCTAAAGATTATTACAGAGTCATCAGTATGTATTAACATTACAAATGGGCAAAACCATTGAAAGCTTCACCTTTTCACAGATTGGCTAGAAACTGTGATCCTACATTTTGAATTGTCTTTCTTAACAATCATTGGTACAGGTTTCAGTAACAATGGTCAGGAGGGTCTTCATTGGTCCAACAAATTTCTATTCACTAAATGCTAATAGAGAAAGATAAGACTAGAAAGTCTTTTGTGTTCTGTTTGATTGGCTTTATGTGAAAGGTTTCCTAAAAGATATTTTCCAAGATTATCTTAGCTATTGCCTTTACCTCAGGGCCCAGTTGATGTGTCCTTGTGAGTCCTGCTCCAGCTGGGTCACATTCTCTATGCTCCAGGACAGGGAATAATAACTCCAATATTATTTCCTAAATCAGCACCCTGTCAGAGCGGAAAACTTACAAAACCCAGAAAAACAAGGCAGTCCTGTGGAGTTCTGGCTCTCACAGGTTTCACTGTAAAAAAGCAGATTCAGCAAGCAAGGAAGCATAAGGAGAGATGGGGGAAGACAGTTGCAATGCCACATGAAGATCACCAAGGAACTGAGGAACAAAAGCTGAAAAGAGACAAAGACGACCTTACCCTAGAATGGACAGAGAGAGAGAGCCTTGCCTTAGAGCCGGCGCCCTGAATTTGGACTTCTAGCCTCCTAAATAAACAGTGAAAAAATAAATTTCTGTTTGTTAAAGCCACCCACTTGTGGTATTTCTTTTACAGCAGCACTAGATACCTAAGACAGTCGCTTACCTACAACATCTTGGGCAAGCAGCTTAGCTTCTCTGATGCTCAGTTTCTTTATCTGCATGTTGACTAGAGCTTGCCTTCCTCGTGGGGTTGTTGTGAAGATTAAATGCTATAATGTGTGTAGAGTGTCAAGAGACAACAGGCCCAGCACAACTAGGCCGTGAGTAGATGATACTATTATGGGAGACGAACTGTCCTTGCTCACCAACAGGGAATCAGGAAGAACTCTCAACAGGTTTGGTTCCCCAGGGTCTTTTGAGTGGCAAGAGCAAAAGATGGCCTTCAGTCGTTTCCCTAACAAATTTGGAAAAGGTTAGTGTTACAAGGCAGCCTGCTACATGCTGCTTCTGACAGGCGCGCTGGAATCACTCAAGGCCACAGTTGACAGCCAGTTCATTTTGCTGATTCATCCATTAGAGGGATGACTTGGAGCCAGAGCTTGGCTTCTAGATTAAAGGCCGAGAGCTGCAAAGCTGCTGGGACTTTAAGGAATGCTGGTAAATTATTGCCATGTGAAGGTCAGCAGTGAAAAGTGGATTGTTATTTGCTTCCCCTTTTAAGCAACCTTAATTCCACATGGGCTGAGATAAATTCCCTCACCCTGGTTAGGAGTTGTTTGTAACTTTTGTCCATGAGGCTGAGAGCTAAATTACTGGGAACAATTGGATACCGTTAAATAGATTCTCTTGGCTCCTTTATTATCCTGTCATCACCTTTGCTTTCATGGCAAATATTGACCCAAACCTACCCTTTTACTTGGTAATCCAAATTAAACTTGAGAGAAGGATTGTTGCAGATGTCATCCCTTTTGGGCATGTTTACAAAACTTAAAGAGGAAGATCCAGAAAACATTCATTTACCAACTATTGGTACAGAATAATGAAGGCAGAATCTATGGGTTCTCATTATATATCACAATGATAGATTAACCTGGCTTAGCAGGTAGCCTCAAGTATACAAGGAAATCAACTGTACGTAAAAATTGTATGTGACAGGATAAGCTTTAAAGAGGGTGGAGAATGTGTCTTGTTTTACCGAATACCCAGCATAGTCCCTGAGACAAAGACACTCAGTAAAGAATTGCAGGGTGGAGGAATGAATGGATGATGATTGGCAACTGTTTGCAAAGCCAAGGTCGAGATCAATCATCAAAGGACAGCTCCAGTGTGAGGAAAGCCCATTTATGGTGATTAAAAGAGAAGGGCATGTCTCACCACTCTTTAACTTTCTATTCATTTCTACTGACGCCAAGTCTTTTTCTTCTAACCAAGCCCTGTGGTTGGGTGAACACTCTCTCTGACACCGCAGTGAGAAGGGAGGGAGACAGCAATGCTGGGTGGAATTGTTCACCGTGGCATGTTGGTTTTCACTCTTTTTCTGTTCTCCTTTGATTATGTAAGAGCTGCTTTGTTTTAACTTATTACAGTGATCCTGCAAGTAAGAAGACAGAAAGAACATGGACCTCTTACTGGAATAACATTTATGATTACAAGTGAAATAAGGCATTTTTTATCAACATAAAGGAAACCTTGGCTTATACAAACCTCTGTCATGAATGCGGACATCTATACTCCCCTCAGTATCAATAATAAATATATTTTCTGACAGAAAAAAAAGAATGGATGATATTAGCTGGATATATAAATTGTTGGGTGGTTGGATAAATGAATGAAAAAAGTCAGACGTGTGACACATTGAAAGCAGGAACATTAATTGTGCCGAGGAACAAGATTTTCCAGAAAGGGCCCCATTTCCGTGGTCCCCTGATAGCAGTGGCTTGGTCAGTAGCACCTCTGCAGAACAGGCTGCTCTCTTGTTTTTCATGTTTGTCTCCTTGTGAGTGATCAGAGCGTGCTCATGTGAGCTCACTCCACAGGATTTCCCTCTACCTCTTTGGGAGACTTTGGAGAATATGAAAGTTCTTGAATATTTTGAGTGTTTCTTCCCTTTTTTTTTTAACTTTAGAGTGAATATTTGAAAACTACAGTTAATAGTGAAAGGTTGTGTTTTTTAAAGAAGTGGAGAGTTTTTCCTTGTTTTGGTTTGGTTTTTTAATGTGGCTAAATGTTTAGAACAGGGCATTCTGTGCTGAAGAGTTTTAGGCACATCTGGTCCACTTGAAGATCTAAAAGCATCAGGTGTTGACTGCATGGACCATCTGCCTCTCACAAAGTTGCCTCTTCCTCCGCCTTGGAGGTCCAGGACATCCTGGACCCCCTCGTCCAGTTCTGCTGTGCTCACCCTGCATGCTCATCACCACTTGTTACATTCTGCTGTGCATTTACTCACGTTAATATTTACTGGGAGCTACTCTGTACCAAGGAGTCCTGGTGGTGCAATGGTTGAGCACACAGCTGCTAACCAAAAGGTCAACAGTTCGAACCTACCAGTAGCTCTGCTGGAAAAAAGAGCCAGCCATCTGCTCATGTAAAGACTACAAGCTAGGAAACCTTGTGGGGCAGTTCTGCTTTGTCTTGTAGGGTTGCTGTGAGTCAGAATCAGCTTGATGGTGCACAACAGCAGCAGCTCTGTACCAGGAACTCTGCTTGGCACTGCTGATACTGATCTGTCTTTGTTGTTATGGTGCTTTTGCAGCTTCCTGGGTACCAGTACCACCTGTAACAGTGTGACCAGGCTCTTCCTGTCTCACTGCCAGTCTGGATGAGTGAGACAGGAAGTGTTGATAGTGATAGTGGCTGGGAGAGGATTCTCCTGTTAGTCCTCACTTCCACGCCACTGGTGTGTTGCATCCACCAGCCCCAGAAGAGGAGAAGGCGTGGGATTAGACCACAACTGACCTGGCCTCAGTCTGAAGGGTGAACACCGAGGGAGTAGACTCCAGCTTTCAAGGACTCTTGCTACATTACAGAGAATTAGCAGTCTGGAAGCAAAGCAGTCTTTAAACACAAAGGGAGAAGAGACATGTCTCAAGTACTGTGGTGATGTCTTGAATTTGCAGAGTCCAGAGGGTGCTGCAGAGTGGTGAGAAAGGCTTGGCATTCATGTTGGAGCAACCTGATTTTGCATCCCAGCACTGCCACTCATCAGCAGTGTGGCCTCTGTGATCCCACTCCTCAGGAGATTCAGTTCCTCCCTTGTGAGTGTCTTGTGAGCATTAGACACAACGTGTGCATAGGGCCCGACGTAGCAGAGACCTTCAATATTTGATGCAGTTATCACCACTGTCATTATTGCTGTTATCCACATTTTTGTTTTTAACAGTAAGTGAAGGTTTACAGTTTTCCCTTCGTGGTTTTGTTTATTTTAATTTTCTTATTCTGAAAATAAATTCTAACAGTCATTTTAGTTGCAAATCATTTGAAAATTATTATTAATGTTTTGCGTACATCATCGTGGTTCTTTAGAAAGCACGTTCACGCAGTAAGGGGGCTTGGTGAGCTGTGACTCTTCCTCTTCTCCAGACGAGGAAACTGAGAGACTTGGAGAGCTTACGGGACATGCCCAAGGTCACCTGGCTTCTAAGTGGCAGAGCCTAGACCTGAACCCGGGACTCCTCTGACTACCTTGGGCCACCTTCCAAAGAGTGACACCTTTGGTGGCTAGGCCAGACTCTTTTATAAGGAATCTTTCTTTTCCTTGTAGCTGTCAATACCAGCAAATATGCAGAAAGCTATCGGATCCAGACCTACGCTGAATATGTGGGGAAAAAAAATGAGGAGAAGCAGATCAAGAGAAAGTGGACAGAAGATAGTTGGAAGGAGGTTGAGAGAAAGCGGTTAAACACTCAGTGTATATCCTGTGCTCTGCAGAATCACTGTTACCGCACCAACAGGTAAGAGTTCTTGGCTGTTGGTTTAAGGGGGCAGAGTTGTTCTCGCTATGGTTTTTCTCATTGATTCTTATAGGATTTTGATAATAAATCTTGACTTTTGAGAAAGACTTTTTTCCTAACTTATTTCACATAATTTCAGGTAATATTGGAAATGATTACTATCTCAGTTCCTTTTGCTTTAGAGAATACTTTATAGACGACAGCTGTTTCAGTTACCCTCGCAAAACCCCCTTGAGGCAAATGGGATACATCTTATCATCTTATTCCCAATTTAACCAGTTGCCAGCGAGTTGATTCCAATTCATGGCCACCCCATGTGTATCAGAGTGGAACTGTACTCCATAGGATTTTCAATGGCTGTGACCTTTTGGAAGCAGATAGCCAGGCCTGTCTTCTGAGGCATCTCTAGGTAGGTTTGAACCGCCAGCCTTTCAGTTAGCAGCCAAGCACATTAACCATTTGTGCCACCCAGGGACTCCTTATTCCAGTTTGAGGGGTGAAGAAACAAAGAAACAGCTCAGTAACGTTGCCCAGTGGTTCAATGAGAGAGCCACCGTTAGAGCTGAGCTCTTCTGCGTCTCATCCCTTCCTCTTCTTACTATACCAGGTGGCCTCTGCCTGAGCTTCATATTTTGTCTTCTTAATAAATTGTCCCTTTTTCCATTGTGGAATAGTCTTCCTTATTTCTAGTAATAATCTTTCTTTTGGACATTTATTTTGTCTGATATTTATATTAAAAACCAAATCTGTTGCCATCAAGTCGATTCTGACTCATAGCAACCCTATAGGAAAGAGTAGAACTGCCCCATAGGGTTTCCATGGAGTGGCTGGTGGATTCGAACTGCCGACCTTTTTGGTTAGCAGCTGATCGTTTAACCACTGTGCCACCAGGGCTCCAATATTAATATAGCTTATGCTTAGCGTTTGCGTAGTAGATTTTTGCTCATTCTTTCTTGGCAGTCTGTGTCTGTAATTAAAGTATGTTTCTTGTAAACAGCATATAGTTGGGTCTTGCTTTTTTATCCATCTGACAATCCCTGCCTTTTATATTTAATGTAATAAATGACACAGATGGATTTGTCTTCCAACTAGGAATTTGTTTTCTCTTAGTCTTATTTGTTCTTTGTTCTTCTCTTCCTTCTTTTCTACCCTCTTTTGAGTGAATCTTTTGAATGAATCCGGTATTATTTTATATTGGCTGATTTTTTTTTTTTTTTTTAACCATTCCATTTTATCTCCTCTGTTGGTTAAATGCTCTACTGCTAACCAAAAGGTCAGGGGTTTGAATCCACTAGCCACTCCGCGTGAGAAAAGACCTGGAGATCTGCTCCCTTAGTAAAGATTACAGGCTTGAAAACCCTATGGAGCAGTTCTGCTTCGTACTATAGGGTTGCTATGACTCGATGGCATACAATAACAACATCATTAACTTTTGCTGATACCTCTTCTTTTTTTAAAAAAAAATCATTGCTCTAGAGCAGGGGTCAGTAAACTATGGCCTACAGGCCAAATCTAGCCCGCTACATGTTTTTATAAAGGTTTATTAGAACACAGCCATGCTTATTCATTTACATAGGGTCTGTGACTGCTTTTGTGTTAACAATGGCAGATTTGAGTAGCTGAGACACAACTGTATGGCCTGCAAGACCCAAAATGTTTACTGTCTGGCGCTTTACAGAAATAGTTTGCTGACCCCTGTTCTAGAGCTACACTGTCCCAGTATGGTGGCCACTAGCCACATGTAGCTATTGGATACTTGAAATGTGGCTAGTCTGAATTGAGATGTGTTGTAAGTTTAAAATACATTCCAAATTTTGAAGAATGTAAATTACCTCTTTAATGATTGTTTACATGTTGAAGTAATATTTTGAATATATTGGGTTAAATAAAAATACTAAAATTAATTTTACCCATTTCTTTTTATGCTCTTTTAAAAAAATATTTTATTGAGTTTTTGGTGAAAGTTTACGCAGCAACTTAGGTTCCCATTCGACAGTTTCCATGCAAATTGCTGAGTGACGTTAGTTACGTTTAGCACAATATGTCAGCATTCTCTTTTCTTTTTTAACAGTTTCTGCATGTACGGTTTAGTGACACTGATTACATTCTTCAAGTTGTGCAGTCATTCTCACCCTCCTTTTCTGAGTTGTCCCTCTCCATTAACATAAACTCATTGCCCCCCAAGGTTCACATCTAGTCTTTCGAGTTGCTGTTGTCAATTTGATCTCACATAGATAGTTCTCAAAAGAACGTAATGCTCAAGGCAGACTTTCTTAGACTAGTTACACTAAACTACTGTTTGGTTTTCAGAAGACTTTAGTGGAGATTTTTGGTTTAAGGTTTAAAGATTATCTTAAGACAGTAGTTTTCAGGCGTTCATCCACCCTCCGTGGCTCCATTTTTTTTTTTTTAATGGTGGCTACCAAAAACTTTAGAATTATGTATCTCCTTCACATTATATTTTATTGGCCACGTATTGTTCTAGAGCTTAAAATATGAATCTTTCATGTATCACAGTTTATCTTCAAATAAAAATTATATTGCCTCATGAGCAGTCTGAGATTCTTATAACACTCTATTTCCATTTACCCTCTTCCTATCTTTTGTCTTATATTTTACTTCTACGTATGCTGTGTTGCTTTTTTCCATTTTTCTCCTTTCTGCCCTCCCTCTCCTCTTTTTTTTTTTTAATAAACAGTTAATACTCTTTCAAAGAAAATAAGGGACTAAAGTCAGAGGAAGACGGCGTAAGTGTAAATGTAAGGCTCAGGCATCCATAATTAGAAAGCACAGTTAAGATTTTCAGGGGGCCTGGAGGTTGAGCAGGAGCCCTGGTGGCACAGTGGTGAAGCACTCGGCTGCTAACCGAAAGGTTGTTCGTTTGAACCCACCAACCGCTGTAAGGGAGAAAGTTGTGGCAGTCTGCTTCTGTAAAGATTGACAGCCTTGGAAACTCTATGGAGCAGTTCTACTCTGTAGTCTGTAGGGTTGCTAGGGGTCGGAATTGATTCAATGGCAGTGGATTTGGTTGTTAAGCAGAGAGCAGCTGTAGCTCTGTGGCTCACTTCAACTGGCTTTAGAGAATTGACTCCAAGACCTTGGTGGAGAATCAAGATCAGCAGCCCAAGGCTGATTCCTATGAGGCGGAGGTTGTTGCCTCCAACCTCCAACCTTTTTACCATTTCTGACACCAACTGTCCCTCCCACGGCACTCTCTACTTCTCTGCTGGGTTTGATAATTCATTGCAGTGGCCACACAGAACTCAGAGACCTTGCTTACAGTTATGGGTTTTATTAGGGAAGTAACAGGTTACAATTCACATTCAAGAATGCTCAGAATACGGTTCTTTGATCAGGACAGCCTCTTCTTAGCCATGCCTGCAGGCAAGTCTCTCTTTGGCCCTCGGCCCCTCAGCCTGACCTCTGTCCTGCTCAGGCAAGTGTTACAAAGCTCTTTCAGCTCTGCTGATAAGTGCCCGGAGGCACCTCACTCTGCCAGTAAGCCTTGGCTGAAGGCGCTTAGCTCTGGCTCTGTGGGCCAGCAAAGCTAGCTCCACTAAGTGCCCAGAGGTATCCTACTCCACCAGCAAGCCTCCTGCCCAAAGGCACTCAGCTTTCTAGCTCCATGGGCCGGGAAGTCCATTGCACTGTCTCCTGCCTCTGCTGCTGCTTGTCGCCTTCTATCACTGTCTCCGGTGTTATAGCTCTCTCTCTCCTGGGTTGAGAAGGTTCTCAGTGTAGTGATCCTGGGTCCAAAGGATACGCTCCGCTCCCATCTCTTATTCTTGGTGGTCATAAGGCCCCTCTGTCAGCCTCTGGGATGGCTATTTTAAGCCTAGCAGGATGGCAAAACTGACCAATCCCCTCATTAGGGTTCCATACACCTCATTTGCATGGTTCCACCCCCACAAGAGTGTCATGCACCTTATTTACATTATTAGCAAGCTGTCTAATCCCCTTGGTGGGCCACAAATACCTCATTTGCTTGGTCCCACCCAGTCATTTGGTGGGAGTACAAAGACTGTGGCTAGAAGGGCCATATTAAGTAATTCATTGCACTGTACCTTCTCAGCCTTCTTCTAACTGGAAGATACTGTTGATCACCATGAAGAAGCGGCAACACTCTGTAGCCAGTGCGTGTGTGCTGCAACGTTGTGACACCACCAACAACAAAAACAAAAAATCCTGCTAGTACAGAAGCTGTAACATGAGAGAACAGCCTATTAGTCCATATTTGTTTGTGTCTAGTTGTGGGAGGTCGAGTGTAAAGATGAAGAATGACTGCTGGGGCCCCAAACCAAGTTTGTCATCGCGCTGATATGTGATTCCATGTTTAAGTGCTGTTTGCAGATTTGAGATGCTTCCTTTTGTTCATTCCAGAATCTCTGAAGCAAAGATTTCATTTCATTCAGCTGCATTGCTGGCCGTGCAGAAGCCAAATTTGCCAGATGGGAACATTCTAGATCCTCCCTTTTGTGCCCCATTTTCCCATATCTGCTATATGTTTTCAAACCTCCATTCCCAAAGGGTAACTAATTATAGAATCTTAAGTGCTGAGTAAATGGGTGTTTACTGTATAATCCTTTAAAGTTTTCTGTGTATTTGAAGTTTTCATAATAAAATGTTAGGAAAAATCAAATTGTATCTTCTACAAACCTTTTTTATGTTTCCAATAGAATAGGGCACTTTTCGTGGTTCGTGGTGATCTGCAGCTTCCAGGCGTGCCTGAGTTAATAGATGGCTATCTAGCTGGTGGCTTATCTTCACCACTGGTGAAGCTTCTGGAGTGCTTCTCTCTTTACCATCCCAACCATCAGGACCATCCTGTAAACCTGTTCTTGCTGCTTGTGCCTACCTTCTATTCTTGTCTTTCCCTCCACCTTTCCTGATGCTTTTCAAAGACTTGGACCCCTGCCACCAAAGACCCAGTTTAACACCATCTCTAAAAACATGGCCCTTCCACCTCTGCCCACCATAAGACAGGGAGGGAAGAGAGAATG